AGTCCCAGGCTTAACGGCCTCGGCTTCTGATTATATGTATGTCATGTATTATGTATTCCATGTATAAAGTGAAGTATACTTTATTTCCCCTCATCCATACCCCTAGGGCCCCTGTCAGGAGCAGTGGCCATGGGCTATCTCTAGAGACTGAAGCTCGGTGGGCTTTGCTGGAGGATTTTACCTTATGGTTTTGAGAGAAAACCCAGACACAGGGAGAACCTGCTGTTCTGATCAATAAAGCAAGAACGTGGACTCTAAGAGCACATACCCCGCAAACACCACAAATCATCTTGAAGTGTGAATGGGGTCTTCCTAACATCTCAATCCATCTTCACGCAAAGTTTCAGCCCTGTAGTTTTTTTGCACAATTCTGTATATAGGCAAACAGACACATAAAAACATATTGGCAAAACCCCGCTGAGAATAAGTGGCTACTTCATTTTTCTTCAAATCATAGTTTTGAAGAGGGGAAAAATAATCTCTTTATATGCTGTAATTTAACCCCAAACCTCCTCCCTTGGTTGTAATCACTGTGTCCAGAAGGCAATCTATCCTCACTGGAACATAAAAGGTGAAACAATGTTTGAACTTCATTGATTCTCTGCATATAATAAAAGTCAAATCATTGAGTGAGCATGCTCTAAATGTCATATGTAAGTCATGTTTATATTTAGAAACAGCCCGGGTGTGTCTGTCTGAAACGACATTCAATATAAAGTATTGATTTTAGATTACGACCCAAATCAAATGTAGATCTTTTCATGGATGCTCTATGCTCAAACCAAGCATTGCAATTTATCAGCTGGCTAACAGCTGCTTTACAGATAGTATGTCACCGCAGGATCGGCCTGGAGTGGCAAATGTGCAATTATTAATTTAAAGGGACAGTATGTAATATGTTATCTTACTGGTCGGTAAAATTACACCCATACCTTTGTTGTAATGTAAAAAAGCAAAGTTCCTTGACTTGTGCACCACAATATACTGTACATCTGTTTCCCTCAGACGCCTGAGGAAGCATGTCTGCTCGCCTTGGAGGTCTCGGATCTGCCCTGTAAATCTACGTGTAGTTCACTTTGTTGGCATCTTGAGTCGCGCTCTCTCCCAGGAGGTGTTGCCTTGTTTTTTGTGGATAGATTTTCACCTGCTGGTATTGAAAGCGGTCTCTGTATTCCCCCCCATCGTTCCTTTCATGACATACATGTTGATTTCTGAAACAAATACAAATGTGCTGATGCTTGAAAAAGCACAGACCTATTTCTATACAGTACTTACTCAAATATAAAAGAGCTTTTAAAAGACTTTCTGTTGGGGCAATTAATATGTATGAGCTATGATTTAAAAAGTCAGGTACCCAAGCTTTATCTTTCTGGGAAAGTTCCACTTTTCAACAATATTTTATGGTGTTTTAAATATTATTTTCTATTGAGATGTAGGCAGCATGTTTTTTCTTCAGATGTAACGCAATATTGCGTTACCTTCTTTATTTAATTTTTGCATAGCTCTAAACCACAACAGCAGTCGTTTTGGAGGACTTTACAAACTTGTCGATTCACCAACAATAGATCAGATGATTGGACGGTTCGAACACAAAAATTGCACGCAGAGGAGCCATTGGTATGGCCAAATGTCCATAAATATTAATGAATATCCTCAAATGTCCCTGATTGTCACTGCCCTTAGACGCTCCTGCATCTGCAAGTAATGACGAGGAAAATAGTGAGAAACCCACATCATGAGAGAGGGATCTGATCCCATGGACGTGAGGGCAGTAGATCAAGGATTCTGCACTACAATACAATACAATACAATTTATTCTTGTATAGCCCTAGGTCACAACAGAAGTCATCTCAGAGGACTTAACAAAACCATTGAAATCACCAACACAGATCAGAGAATCAACAGTTAAAACACATGAAAAATATAAAGCACACACAGAAGAAAATGTCCATACATGTTGTAGAATGCTAAAGTGTCCTGATCATCACCAATCCTTTCTGTTGGACACTAACTGTCCAACAAGACCCTCCTGCATCGACAAGGAAAAACTCTTAAAAAACCCAGTGGGAAAAAGTGATTTCCCACTATTATCATATCAATTTTTATTGATGTCTTATTATTGCAAAGACTTCCAGTGATAGTCAATGCTGATCGAGTGAGTCTTATTAGCACTGACACAAAATGGACGGCTTCAATTTGGTCTGCTCAAAGTTCAGCTCATTGCTCAGTGCTCTCTGGGGCCACACACACACACACACACACACACACACACTGCTAACGTGCTCCTTCTAATTATGGGATTCCTGTGAGATTGTGTCGTCCCTGTTATTGAAGCCGCTTTGTTTTGACCGTCGGCTAAACGCTAAAATTGTGCTTGTAAATTCTTTCCGTACACCTGAGAGGAGGATGGCAGTTACATTGCTTTGAAAGTCCCCGTCACATCAATACACGTGAAGAGACGCAGAGACTTAAGGAGCTTATAAATGATGCATCGAGCTGTTGGTTGTATGTCATTTCTCTGTAGGATAAGCATTTACATTTAAAGCAGGGGAACCTTACTTGTTTTTCTTCGTAAATATGTGTCCCAAAAGAAGGGATCCTTTGCTATATGTTAAAACTTTGTTTAGTCTTCAAAATCCCATGGACAAACTCATAACACACATAAGACAATGAAATAAGAATAATTGTATTGTTGTAAACCGGACAAACTACACATGTATGTAGTAGTTAGAAAACTCTGACATGGTCTTCCATTCTGATCTGCACTACAATTTTTTTTATTGTTTTCTATCTCAAAACTATATGTATATTTTTTTCCCACATCCTCAATTTTATGTAATTCACAGATTAAATAGAGCATTGGCCTTTGGGCCTGGAGGTCGTGGGTTCGAGACCACCATGGGACCTACTCCAACTGCTCCCACAAATGTCTACTGTTGTTGGTATGGATTTTCCCCATTATCTGATGTCCATGTCTCCCCTCCATGGGGGCTGGCTTGCTCCTGGCTGACCCCCCTGACCAATCCAGTGGAACCTGGGAGTAACCTCACAGCCAGTATATAGATCGCTGGGATGGACTAGGTTGGGGTCTTGGTCGGTGTCAACTCTCTGTGCAACATGTAGCAGCCTAATGCTGAGGCCCAGAGCCTGCAGGGTTCTCTCTCTCTCTCCAACCATCTCTCCTTGGGGTATGATATTTTCTGTTATGTCTGTATGTATTTTGTTATAATTCAGTGTAATTAAATGTCCTCTTTTATATCTATTGGTTTGGGCCTAGTATGCAACAATTACATTTTCATGATAACAACTGTCGTTGTGTCCTTGGGCAAGACACTTAACCCCACGTTGCCTGAAGCCCCCGCTGAAAGACATAGGTTGTTTCACCGCTGACGGAGCAGCCATCTTCCTGTCGACCCACCACCTGCAGAGGATCAGTGAGGGACTATGAGCATTGGGTTGCAGCTCTCATTGTCATCCCCCAGACCCAGAAATGGACTAATAAAAGGGGTTGAAAATGAATGAGTTTACAGATCATGCTATGTATTTCAAATATGAAATTAAATGTGAAAATGTGTTACATGTAGGGATGTGCCAAAACTATTTTACAATAGACCAAGATGTTATGTAATAATCAATTTCATACCTGTATATCAATTTCTTTTGAAGCTCAAAATAGTGAGTGTGACACACACGGTTACTGAGCTAGAGGAGTTTACTTTTCAGTGTGAGTAAAATGGAGCCAGAGCGAGTTGGAGCAAAACTTTTTTTCCATGAGCACTATTTAGGTTCATTGAGCGAGCGAGTTGGCACCGTCCATTTATGTAAATATCTGCGGGGGCTGGTACCGGCTCAAAAAGGTCCAAGAGCATGCTCACAGTCCTTGTGAGCGGGGGTGTACCTGGAAACGGAAATATCCATTGAATTCTAATGATATCTTTCATCCACTCAAAAACAGCTTTTTCAGGATGGTTCAAAAGTCAGCTCTTGGCCTAGCGCTACATTCCAGATCCGTGTCAATGCTGAGGGGATTTTTTTTTTAGACCAGCCTAGTTTAGCCACTGTGAACTTTTGAATACATACGTTAACATTAAATATCTTCGGCACATACATTTCGACGGAGGAAATGGGCATCACTATGTTAATATTCACAGTCTATGGTAAATGCTTACAAATAAATTCATGAAATATTCAAGTTTTTTTTTTTTATAACTTGTGTTGCTTCTTCAATAATTGAAGTAGTAATAACATGCTTAACTATTTTGAGTTGAATATATGCAATAGTTAATTTTGTTCTACAGATTCTTCTCAGTTTCAATATCTCAGCACGCACCAAGTTTTCTGCTCTTTCTCTGCTTTCTTTCGCTGTCATTACAAATCCCAGTTTAGTTTCTCTTCAAAATGGAGGCGGATGATTGGCAGCTCTTTAAACACGGCTTCAATACACCGGGTCATATGCTAATGCTCGCCTGCTTCACACTACGCTCTTTCTAAAGACACAACGCCGCCATAAACACGTCCCAAACAGCCGGCTGAATATACTAACACGCATCTTTGAACCACGTCGCACAAATAACTTTTCTTCCTCTTTTTCCGCCAATTCCATTTTCTCTCTGGATCCATTTGAGGATCATTGTGTGGGACATGCGTTTACCAGCTTGAAAAAGTCAAATAATGAAATTAACTCTGGCAATTACATCTTTTCAGTCGTTCGCTTTATTCCATGCAAGCAGAGAACCTAATTGCCGTGGTAATACTTTTAGGGCAAACAAACAGAAAAGCAGTGTAATTAGTTTGAACATTTGACATTGTGTGTGAATGCCTGTGATTATTACATATTGTTGAACGTATGAGAAACACGACTTTGTTTTCATCAAACAAGCTATTTATTTGGAGTGATAACACGGCTGCATGAGACGCAGGTGATTAACTATGCAAAGAAATTAGTATTGTGTTTTTGACATTTTTGGATGCTGAGAATGAGCTGTCGGTTTCTCATTAAAATGTCAAAGGAGGTCTGACAAATTATATTTATTTGCTAAAACATGTAATTGCTTTGAAGTAGCGAAATACAAAGCACTTGCATTTTGCTCGGTGGAACCTGCACGGCGTTTAAAAAGTTAGATGAATGAACTAAGAGATTATTAAAAAATGCCTTAAGAAATATTGCCGCACTACATTTTGGGACGAGGTCCAACATTCTGAATCAGCCACAAATGTTAAGAACTATGCATGATTTGTATGTACTTTGGCAGAGATTTAAAGAAATAAATTGTTGGCCTTTAAAAATAATGAGATTCTTTTACATTCTAAAACAAAGACCCTACAATTAAAAAGTATTAAACATATGGTGACACAAGTATGGAGGGTAAAAAAAATTGTTCTGTTTGCAACTACCCATGCTACTACCAGAGCACTACCAGAGTTTCAAATTGGAAAATTACAGGCTGCAACTACAGACTTGCAATTCTAAATTGATTCTCATTCTAAATGAGACAGGAGCTTTTTGACAGAAGGAGTAGAGTTTATAAAGTTTATGATATTAAGCGTGGATGTATCTTGCATACACTCTATTTTCTAATATGCACTCATTTGGTGATTGGTGTCCGAGTTGCGCCTCGACTCAGCCGTGGATTGGTGCTTTCAGAGCTTGACATTTACATTATTGCTCTCATTCTTTGGCAAATTTTGACTAGAACTGAGCAGAGCATTCCAAGCCAAATTCTCATGCAGATATTTTAGCCTGGTCTGTGTCAGGAATGAACCAGACAGAGACGGATCGTGGTGCACCAAACTCTGGAAGTTCATTTAAGTTTCTCTCAAGTTCCAGTGGTTTCCGATGTTTCTTTCTCTCAGTTCTTTCCAGACAGAGCAAAGCCAGTACACAGTTTATATAGTCATTGTTACGTCACACATCGAAAGACATACGTGTCACACAGAGACAGAGCATATCATAGTCAAAACATGGATACACAGTCCTTGTAGTCTTGTGCTTGTCCTGCACGTAGGCCAAGTAGCTATCTAATCCTTACAGCTGTTTTAAAAAACAGTAGCCTAGTTTAAATTCCTCATCTTGTGATGAAATCTGACTTTCAAAAACCCATGAATCCTAAACATATTGTTTTCTTCTTTCTCCAGACCAACATCCCTTTCCTGCAGAACGTCTTCTCAAACCACCAGTTCCTGCACTCCACAGTGGACACGCAGTTCATCGACGAGAACCCCGACCTGTTCAACCTCAAACCGGTCCAGAACCGCGCCCAGAAACTGCTGCACTACCTTGGTCAGTAAGCAATATAGTATGGTATAGTATTGTTTATTGTACAAACATGGACTATTTTACTAACCAAAGGGTAAGGCTAAAGTAACCCTAACACCATTAACAAATTTCAAATCACCTTTGTAATTGTAAAGACGCCCCGCCCACAAAATAGTGATAAAAATCCCTGTTTGATTTAGCTTTAACCCTTTAATGGTTTCCTCGACCATTTGGTAAATTACCATTTAAGTCAAAACTTCAAGCATACTTGGAACTGAAGTATAACTCTTTGGGGCATCTCACTTGGTTTTAGGCACTTTTATCATCAAACTGCATCTCAACCATTTGGTAAAGGCCAATACAAAAATTAGGGGTTATTTGTGTTTGTTATTAGTGAGCTTCATTATGAGCTACTTCCACAATGAGACAAACGCTGGGGATGGTGTCAGAATATTGCAAGCATAAATACACAAAGTCTGTATGCATTCATAGATTCATGTTTTTCTAAAGCATTAGCCTTTTTTTAAATGTGTAAATTGAACTAGAGCTGACAGAAAAACGTCTTCTTTTTAGACTAGTTCTCACATTAGTTTCCGGAAGACAAATAAACTACTCCCAGATTTCCCTGAGGAGTCAATTTGATGATATGTAGTTAATGTTAAATTATCTTTTTTTTTTTTTTTATGTGAGAAGTTGTACCTCCATTCATTTTAATGTAAATTCCAATTTACAGCTATATTAACCAGTCTTGCTTAATTGTAAAAGTAAGTAAAAGTGAAAAAATCTGGTGAAAAAAAATGGGGGGAAATTCTTAGCATTCAATGTGTTTGGATGGGAGCAGTCAAAATCACTGCTCTGGGAGTGCTAGTAGTTTATTTGTGTTAATATGTACAGAAAATAGAAAACTAATACTCTATTTTAATCGCAATATTTATATCCATCAGTTCCTTCTATTGATACTTTATATTAGTTTGTGGTAGTATCCTTTTGAAGCAGTGAAATGAGTCTGAAGCCACAGATACAAATGATGACATTTCATATTGATGTAATCCACTCTCTCCATGCGTCGCCAGAACATTATTGACAACGGCGGCGCACAGTGATTAGCTGCCTGTCCAGGTGGATTACTACATAACAACTAAATTAACCAGCTCTAGTTACAGTCTACCAGAAAGGCCATCACGAATTTGACACAATAAAAGAAGACAATATTTTTCACCAGAGACATTGACTAAATAATGGCAATAACAAATGCGCCACCGCAGAGTCACAAGAACAAAGTAAACAATATAATCATGTAGTTTGCAGTCTTACTGACTACAGATGCAATTGGTTTTTCTTGATAAAAAATGATCATGAGGACCACAATACTAATGTTTACATTGTTCAAGCAGATTATCCAATCAGAGAGCAGAATGAAGCTCTCATTTGGGTTGCTAGTTTGTCAACATCTGAACATATTCTGTATTTTACTTCAGTATGGATTCTTTTTCTCTTGTCTAGGTCATGTGATGGTGAACGGCCCATCCACGCCCATCCCAGTCAAAGCCAAGCCCTCGTCCATCGACCCTGTCATCCCTGCTATTACCATGGGTACGCCCTCCTACACACACACTCACACACAGGCAATATTTTTGTTCAGAATTTCTAAAAGCACCATTATTTAGTGTTGGGTAAGGCTGTTCTTTGTGTAAATGCCACTTGCGTAATTGTCAAAGTGAGTAATTTGTTGATTTATGGCACAATTGGGACCAGCAAGTGTGAGTCATTCTATAAATCATTAACTGTAATAATGTCATATCTGTTTTTCTTCATTTGTCTTGCTGTAAGAAGGTAAGAAAGAAAATGCATTCATTTAGAAAATAAAATTCATAGAAGTAGTTGTTTCCTCATGGGGTCTGCTTATGGAGATGGCTAATGCTAATGCTAATGTCACTCATCATAAAATATGTATTTAGTCTTTTACTGATGTTTTTACTGATGTTTTTAGCTTGGCTTCTTCCTACTCCTTTTGAACGTGAATAAGTTTTCTTTATTTTCTTTGTTTTGTTCTTACTGTTTTTTTTTCTTTCTTATACATTTATTCGATGTTCAAATAAACACAATAAATAAATAAAATAAATAAATACTGCTCAAAAACATTGCTTGTATGGTAACCAAGTCATGTCACTAAACATTGGTCGTTCATGCTTCTCGCCTTGGTTCAATTCAGTCTTTATTTGGGACATTTCTTTGCAGAGTTGCAGAGACATGATTTTCCAAATGCAGCCCTCTATGTTATTTTATCACCACCTGGCCTTAAAGGTTGATATAAAATAAGCTATTTTATGAAATATAATATTACGGGTAAGTGCCGCTTCCCTTCTCTTAGCTATACCTCAAAATCCACGATGCCGTCCACTTTAACCAATCAAGTGATGTCAAGGGCTGTTGATCATCCCACTCATGCTCGTAATATGAAATATATATTTGAAAGAATATTAGACAGGCCTTTATATTTGAAGCTTTAAGGGCATTCACTTTTTAAAAATGATATATATAAAAAAGTTAGTTCCCAAAGGTTTTGTCGTGACGTGACTAGACCATGGATCTATTAGGACTAGACGGGTAACAGCTAGGCTAACTAGAACTCTGGAACTACATGAAAAGAGAACAAAGAATTCTGATCAGCGGTGAATGACCCAAATATAAACTTAACCTAAAACAAAAATAATCAGATCCTCCGTAAATGTGTCCTAAAATGTTCTAACAATGGTAATAGTTACTTCTGGGTTTACTGCGCTTTTTGACACATTAAAACAGTATATCCATCCATCCATTTTCTTCCCCTTAATCCATTTCTGGGTCAGGGGGGTGGCAGTCAGAGCTGCACCCAGTACACTTAGCACCAGCCCCTCACTGATCCTCCTGCAGGTGGTGAGTCCACAGGAGCTGAGATCTTTCAGTGGGAGCTTCAGGCAAAGTGGGGTTAAGTGTCTTGCCCAAGGACACAACGACAGCAGTCATCAGTGGGAGTCTTGAAGTAGGTCTTATCTAGCTTACCTAGCTTTGACAGCTTCTCTCGCTCAGACAGAAGTAATAAGTGACAGGCGCTGAAAGCCCGTTGTGACAAAGTGTACGAACTACTGTCCAGAGTAATCTTAGTATTTTACACACCTGAAGTACAAGCACAGAGTGCCTTGCCAAAGGGCAGTGGCCATTATTGGTTTGAGAGGTCCGTTATCAAGAAATAATGATCGGTAGAACATTTTGAAATTACATTCAAATCAATGGAGCATTCTACTGCTGCTGTGAGGAGCTATTTGATAAATTATGATTAAATATTCGAATATTTAAATTAATAATCTCTCCTCCGCACGTCTTGGACCATTGACCTGGCGCGTGCACGGAAAAGACTATCACTTTAACTTCTGGCACAACTCTCCCCCTTAGATCTAAAAGTCAGGACTTTTCTCAGACCTGTGATAGTATGATGTCATTGTCCCTCTATGACATCATGCTGAGAACAGTTTTCTGCATTTTAAAACAAAAGTATGGCCCCTAAATTAGTCTTTGCAATTTCTCATGTGAAAGGGCATTCTTTACTATCACATCACTTTGTTTGCTGTTGGTTAATTTTGAATATTGATACCATCCTTTGTTGATGGCATGAGGCGTTAAAGGAGAATGCATTTTTAACCCTTCATACTTATTTCATCAGACATTTTCTACTGACAAAATTATTTTACTTTCCAATGTGGATTGGGAAATCAGAAGCCTTTTATTTGCTATAGTGAGAAAAAGTAAGTCACAGACTAGGACATTTATTTGGGTCTTTGTGCAAACAAGATATAAATACATTTAAAATCTACATACAGTATTTTTTATTACTACTACTGTATATACAAGTGCACTAAGTACACACAAAAGACAAAAGACACACAAAATCTTGCCTCATCTTAGAAAACAAATTTCTGAACTTATTCTGCCGTGTTTACTGAGAATGAAAAAATGCTGTTGCAAATATTCTGCTTCCGTGGACTCTGTGGATTGAAGCAGAGCGTGTGACAAATGCGACTGTCGGCCGGAGCTGCAGGCGCCTCAGCTTCGGTTTGGCTCTCGGGGATAAGACGGTGGACTGTTGATCGGTGAATACTGCTGCTGTTTGCACACAAGTCCATTCTGCACCACGCGGAAAATCAACTTACTGATATTTAAGTGATTAAAGCTGTTGTTCCTAACTTTCGACTGCAAAACATGTATTTATGTAATTTCCTACTTGTTCCTCGCTCTCAAAACGCAAAAGATGGCAGTATGTTGTTGTCTTTTTGTTCACAACATGTTACTTTTACAAGACTAGGACAAGCAAAGTTCTATCGCTAAGCAAAAAAATTAAATTTGAAAATGGTTACTCAAACTGAAAATGCTGTGCTTTAACCTACAGCATAATTGAATAATAAATAATCATTGCTAATTGAACATTTGGCCATAATGACTTTCAATCAATACAAAGCCACACAGAACATTTTAATGTGAATCTTAATTACTGCATTTTTGGGGAAATGCACAACGTTCCGAGCACCAGGTTCAATATAAACTCCATTACAGCACAACGCAAACTTGCGGGAAAACCACATCGTACCGCATCAGCATTATGTTTCCACAAGTTTCAGCAATCACTGTATCCAAGGAGACGTACTGTTAAGACAAGTTTCTTAAAGCTGGAGAGGTTTCTGTTTGAGTATTATGTTATCAACAAATCAAACCGTAGCATGTTGTTTTTATATTATAAAGTCTTGCACATACTGAGAGGTAAGGTTCTTGCTATTTTTTCATCTTAATTGTGACTTTTTCTGTATCTGTATGTAGTTTATTTCTACGCCATATGTTTTAAATGAAATTATCTTTTATTTTTGAAATGTTACAAGTTCTCCCTTTAACTTCTCCTGTTCATTTTAATGTAACATTCTTATATAACCATTTTCCGTCACTAAATTATTGGGAATTTTGAGAAACATTCTTCAAGGTGTTGGTTCGGCACTGGTCCTGCACTAGTTCAGCTTGGAGCAAGAGCTAGTTACCATAGCTACACACGGTTTACTTGACAGCAGTTAGCAGTTATAGGGCTGGAAAGTCTCGTCTCAGAAGCACTTCCGGTTCATTGCTCGGATACAAACAAACCGTCAGCTGTTCGAAGAGGCGGTTTAAGTGAATGGTGCATAATGCTCTGCTTTGTTTTTCGGCTGTAATCATCACAGTTTACGCGACGCATGCTCATTCTTTAGGTTTCCCAAAGACCAACTGAAACTGTGGGAAAAGCTATGCAGTTCTGATAAAATATTTTGTCTGATTTCAGAGACAGTTAACTTGAACATGTATTCAAGCTAACTTGATGCTAATGCTAACCTGTAATAGTGCGCGGCCAAGCCTTTAATTGTGGCTTGTATTTTAAGATAAGAAACTTTATTGATGTCACACAGGATAAATATTGTCTCTCAAACATTTATTTATTTGAGAAATAAAGGAGGAACATATTAACACGTATTATATAACATTTAACAAATGTTCAAATATAACAGAAAACGGACAATCATTCGTATTAAATGAATAGGTAGCCCAACTACATCATATTATTTTTGACAGCACAGCAAAAAGGAAAAAGGCCCAATGTGAAGCTGCAGTGAGTGTGAAGTGGAGATGGAGCTGATGAACAGATAGAAAACTGATCATTCATAAACATTGGCTTATAAACAAAGCAGAAAAGATAGCTGTAAGGGACAACATCAATTTATTTGCATAGGAATAGTGTTTCTATATTTTCTTTCTGATGCGTGATAGTGCATTAAAATACAATGAGTTTGAACCATAGACTGTATGTTTGAACTCAAGACTGGAGCCCTGCGCCTTTCTCATCTCCCCGTCATATGGAAACGTCAGCACATGGCCAGTTCACAGCTAATTCCGACCGCTCACTCAGTTTTTCTGTCCCAGAGACGAAATGTGTCCAAAATAACACAGGAAAGTCCATTAATGAGGAAGAAGTCGGCGATCTCCGCACCATACAACTGGCACGTGTGGTTTGTTTGTATCCACGGGTGGAAATCTCGCAAAATCTCGCACTTCCGCTTTCCAGCCCTATTGGCCTTTCAATAAACCATTTTTTTTTGCTGTATTTCAAGTTCTATTAAAGCTGCACTAACTGACTTTGAGAAATGTTCGAATGCGAACAAAAATAAAGTCAGGTAATGCAGCTTGAACCAGATTTAGCACTAAGGCCATGTATTTTTACTATTTTGCATAACATTCGTAAAAACATTGTTCTCAGATTTTAATTGTTTGAGTGAAAGCCCCCCAAATCACTACTCCTGGAGTTCTCGTAGTTTCCGAATTCTGAAAGTCCTAGAGTTAATTTTGAAAGCTCTTAGAATCTTTGTCTATTGTTCAACACGTCCCTCTTCCTTCGTCATAGTCAGGGAAGTAAAACAACTCAAAAAGCTTCAGAATACAGAAATGAAGATATTTTTCGAAAAACTTTTCTGCCACATTTGTATTTTTGTAATATCACATTTCTTCTTCCTCATTTGGAGATGATTTCGAGTCGCACAATGGCAGCA